TCACAGCAAGAGTCGTCTGGGTTCAATTCCAGACTCGGGCGCCCACATGTGTGGGAGATTGTACATTCTGCACCTGCTCTGCATGGGTTTGCTCCAGGTTTTCTGGTTTCTTCCCATAGCTAAAATAAAATAAAAATGCAACAGGTATTGGGCAAACATCCCAATGCTGAAAACAATACGTTTTACTCAATCTGGATGACACACAGCCACATCAGCCATACTGCCCGTCTTTTAGTTGGAAATGTTTAAGTCTGACACTCGTTTAAATATTACATTTCAGAGCGTACGGCATCAGGACTGTAACTTCACATCGCAGTGAGCTGCCTCTGCTGAATACAACATCTCGTAGAGTAGGAGGCCCAGATTCTCAGCCGTGGCTCTGCTCAGGCTCGGCTCCGGCTGGACTCAGAGCCCGGTTTAAGTTGCACGTGGTTTACGAGTCAGCTCACTGTAGCCAGAGGCAAGTCTGAGCCAAGCTGCAACTCTGAATATAATGCCTGAATCTTTAATGCCGATATTTAATATTTTATTTTACCAGATAAGGCCCACTGAGCTATATAGCTCTTTTTTTAGAAGCGACGCTGCCACAAATGATGACTGTGGTTGTATTTCGATTTAAAGCTTTCGTGACTGCAGGGCTTCATCTTCTTGGTTCTTTCGGTAAAGTCACGTAGAAGGGAAGTAATAAAATAATAAAAATAAAACATAACAAAATTATTCTCACGACGTTTCGGCCACAACGCATTCAGACTCTGTCGCCTCGACGGACCTGGTTTTCACCTGAGGACGGCTGCTTGCGTTGTGTCCGAAACGTCGTGAGAATAATTTTATTATGTTTTATTTTTATTATTTTATTACTTCCCTTCTACGTGACTTTACCGAAAGAACCAAGAAGATGACTGTGGTTGTGTTTGCCTTTTATTTTGTCTATCTCTGATTTCAATGTAAAACGACCGTAATTCCCCAGATTACAAGAAACTCCCGAAAAATACGACATACACCAAACTTGTTCAGGGTATCAATAAAGTTATGCCAGTCTGATTACACATAAACCCACACAGCTAGCTCCCAGATTATAAGACTTCTGTTCTAAACGTGTACATAAAGAGTGCATCTTATAGTCCGGAAAACACAGCACCTGTACAGCCCTTTTGTCAATCCACTGCTGGATGAGGGCCTCCCCACACCATGTGGGTCGTGGACATGGATAGATGCTGGACATCTGTGAAAAAGAGTTTCATAGCACATCGGATTCCTCCAATCTAAATACATTCTGATTCAGCGTACCATTGGGCCCTACGCATGACTCGGTGACCCGGGATGCACCCCGATCTCGCCAGATCTCGAAGTTAAGCAGGTCCGAGCCTGGCTCTAACAGCGCGTGGACGGGGGAAAGGGGGGGGGGGGCGGCCACCGTACGTGGTGCCGGCTCAACGCCCACGACGCGATGTCCGGAAAACCGCGCCGGCAATTGAGCCGGCAACCGAGCTGGCAATCGAGCCGTTCTGGTTTGGCTTAGCGGCAGCACGCTGCACTCTTGCGGGGACCGACACCAACTGTGCTCTTATCGTCAGGGTCAAACTGACCCTGACGTAGTTCCACCCAGGACAAAACCTGTATTTTTTTGTGCCGAAAATACATTTGGCGGCACCTAACTGCCCACACGCAACGGCGGGCTGGAATTGTGCGCCCCTCGTTTTTGAAGTTGAGTTTTAGTTTAAGTTCATCCTTACGTGTTATCCGTGTGACCAAAGCCCTGATGAGACCAGTCGGTCACCTCTTAAGGTCAACCCGTGGAATGCACCCGCATGCAAGCCTTGCACGCACGCAGCCAGATTATCAAAACAGGTTCCGCTCGCTCTATGCGGGTTCGGTTTATGCGATTTTGCGCTGTACACGCGGCTCAGCCAGTCTCCACACAAACATTCGCCACATTGTGCGGTTTAAATTCACTCCACATGCGGCTATGCGGTCGCACGTGGGACAGAGTGCCGGATTATCCTAGTAGCAAGAGTAGCTACACATGCTACGGGCCCAACACTTTCAAGGGCCCCGCGCTAAATGTTTTCAAGCTATCAATTCCGGTTCAGTGATTCTGCACTTGCTCTATTACTATAGTACTATACTGCCTTCAACTTTTAGGTCTGGGTATTTAAGGTTAGCCATTTGTCGTATTATCTGGCTATATAGCAAATGAAAAAATTAAATGACTCTACTATGCAAATAAAAAATGTTGTGTTATCATTTTTTTTTTATTTAGGGCCCCTTTATAACATATGCTGCAGGCCCCGCACTAGCTTAATCCGGCACTAGAGGGACAGCATTGTGTCCTGTGTGTGGTGTGTGCACTACTCAGCAGGCAGCTGCCTCTTCGTGCAGTGCATTGTGGGTTGAGTGACTGTGCACTAGGCGGTTTCGCTATGTGCGCCCTTTTTTTGGAACGCATCTACTACTACTGCCGCGTAAAGCGAGTGAGACCTGTACGCTGTCGAATGAGGGACTCCCCATCATGCCGTATTGGTTATTTGACCATACTTCACCGCACTGGTCAGTAAAGCAGGCGGGGAGCTGGAGCACAAAACAAGGGTGGTTTTTGCTGCACTGCCCACGACTGCCCACAAATGTCGACACCACCTGTTAACTTCTGCGTGGTGGTCACCCATCCCCAAGCGCTAGTTATGCTCAACAGCTGCTTAGCTTCCGAGATTCGGTTAGGTCAGGCAAGTAGATCACTGACTTGTTCAGGGTCTTGGAAAATCTATATGTGACTGGCTATACAAACCACATACAGCTTGCATTCGTCCAGTGGTAGATCGATTAGGACGTTTTATTATTGCGATAGCTATCATGCTCTGGGAATTTGTCCAATGTGGCATTGGTAATTGCATTCCACGGATTATGCAATAAAATGTTCCCCCTGTACACATTACTGTATAGGCAAAAGTTTTTGGTGCGTCTTGTAATGCGGCAGGCACGTGTAAACCCTTAACACGTAGGCTTTCGCGACCAACAGTATTCATCATAAAGGCTTTTGGGTTAGATCGCGTAAGCATGTGTCGTAACCCTCCACCACCCGACACAGCCATTAAAGGGATTTGTCACGTGAACAAAACGGGCCAATTAGTTACTGCCTTGGCCCACCGGTGTGTTGGAGAGTAAATCCACGTGGTAATTACATCGGGCAATCTGTAGGTGCGTCTGCAACCAGAGTTGTGTGAACCCGTTTGGGCGCGTCTTACTTTCCAGACATTCTTATAAAACTGGTGTGATGCGGTATGTGCGTTGTGGAATTTGTGAAAACTGGGTTGGGTTCCTGTGCTGCCTGATAAGGCAGGGCTTGTGCAGTCACGGTGACATGGCCATAATCTCGCGCTCACCTATACCGGTGGCACGGGACAGACGGTTTGGGTTAGCGTTGCCCGTCTCACGTGTGTATCCGCTCAACGCCCCCCTAGGTGGACTCAGCCTCAAATGAGTACGTGGTGTGGTGAGAAGTAAACCTCGCCACTAGGGGGGGAGATAAAGGTGGCCGGCCGTGATGCTGGCCACCCACCCCGGCTTTCATAGGTGCTCGCTAACAGCACTTGCCAACCAAAACATCTGCTTCGGCAATACGGGGTATCTTTGTCTGAACACGTGGCAGCCACGCGCATATTAATTAGTGCACGTGTACAAACTTGCAGCAACATAGACCTTCATCCACCGCTGGATGGAGGCCCTCCCACGGGACTCGTGTAACCATACTTCGCCACACTGGTGGCGTAACACGACCAGCCGTGGGGAGCCAATGGAACTCGCGCACGGGTTCAAATTGCCGGGTTCAAAACGGAGTGCGCCAACCGCTGCGCCACCGCTCCCCTCCAACAAAACAGGTCGCTTGGCACGCGGCCTCGTCTCGCTTGTCAGCTGAGTGCGCCTTAAGGCGCCACGTCACACGGACGCAACTGAACTCGGTGTACTGTATAAACATGTGTGTTAGTATACAGTACAAGCGTGGGGAGCGCGAAAAACCCGGTGACTCCCGCTCACGGCCAACACCGGTGACGATTATCTGAACCGGTACCGGGCCTCCCCTAGGTCGACTCAGCCCCTTGGTGAGTAAATAACATCGGCACTTCGGGGAAGACAAAGGCGGCCGGGCGTGGGTGGTGTTGACCACGCCTCCCACTCAAACCCCCCAACAGCGTTCTAAGGTTATACCACGTAGTGGGGGAGGGGGGTCATTGTCTTTTGTGCGGACCGTATTCTGCGGATTATAAGACGCGGCGGATGCGTCTTATAATCGATGTCTATGATTTATGTGTTTTGTTCAATGTGTCTGTGCGCGTTATACGAGCCGACGCGTGATCGTTCCGGAAGAAAGTGGAACAAAGAATGAAAAAGCGTGCAACGAAATTGGCAAACGCGCGCTCGAGATGAGTGAGTGAGTGATGGGTGAGTGAGTGATGGGTGAGAGAGAGATGAGAGAGTGAGTGATGGGTGAGAGATGAGTGAGTGATGGATGGGTGAGTGAGTGATGGGTGAGAGAGAGATGAGAGAGTGAGTGATGGGTGAGAGATGAGTGAGTGATGGATGGGTGAGTGAGTGATGGGTGAGAGAGAGATGAGAGAGTGAGTGATGGGTGAGAGATGAGTGAGTGATGGATGGGTGAGTGAGTGATGGGTGAGAGAGATGAGATGAGCACGTGGACTAGAGAACATCGCTCGGATCCGTGTCGTCGTCGTCAATCGGGGCTGGCTACGTACGGTGCGAAAGAAGTTCGGCACACGTGCGAGAGACTGGCTTGTGCGGAACAACGCATCGCCAGAAACTCTGGGAGATGATTGATGGCATTCGGTTTAAGAACACGAACGAAGGTGACGGCCTGAGAAGAACGTCCAAAAGGAGATGGAGCTTTGATTGTGGATTGACCATGGAAGTTTGATGATGATGGTGGTGATGGTGGTGATGTAACTACGTGACCACACACACACACGCCTTGTCCCACCCGCTTGTCTCACCGCATTCGTGGTTCCAAAAGGGTCGCATCTTCGCCGGTAAAGCAAGTTCGATCCTGTTCAATGACCGATGCAATGCGGCTCTGAAAACGGCTGCCATCCTTCCTTGTTGTTGCTGCTTCTGCTGGTGCTGCTGGGTTGGTGGTGGTAATGCCGATGGCGGTGGTAATGCCGATGGTGGTGGTGGTGTGGCAAGGGAAGGTAACGTCACCCACCCTCCGCTTTATATAGATTCTACGACAGTATATGTGTCTCTACACTCGAGGCACACACACACACACGCAGACACACACACACAGACAGACGCACAAATACCAGGGGCCCGGCACTAGACGGACAATTGCGCTGTGTGTGTGTTCACTGATGAATAGCTTAATAATTAAATAAACGAATGACCCACCCACCAATGGGCACACAACACACCTAACACACAGCACACGCACAAACCCACCCCCCCTCTCCCGATCTCAAGGACAAATCACCCCCCCCCCCCCGCTTCCAATGACACCCGACCTGCTCAATAAGGAGCAGATCTACGGAATGCTTCCTAGGATGATGATGACGGCGGCGGTGGTGGTGGGGTTTGGCGAGCCGTGATGCTGATGCTGTACGCAAAACCCGGGAGCGGATTCTGGTGGAACGGAGTGGAATCCGCGAACCACGCCACGCTCGCTCGCTATACCCGCACGGAGCGCCGCGGCGCGACTCCATTCCGAACGAAAGGAGACGCCACGCCGGGATTTTGTGATAATTTGTTCTGGGAAGGAACGCGTTTTGAATGTGTAGCAATTTTTTTTTGCACTTCCGTGTAAAAAGTGTAAGGGGGGGGGGGGCTCATAATCATCCCTCCCTGCCTTCACAGGGCAAGGCAGTGGTCAAGCGTAGGATGGCACCATTGAACCATACGTTTCGCAATTCGTGCAATGTGTTTGCTATAATTTGTGCGCGTTCTTTAAATTGGTTTGAACCGGTGTCTAGAGGGGAGGGAGCGGTGGCGCAGCTGTTGGGGCGCCGCAGAGCACGCGGTGGGGGAATGGGCCCAAGCAAGTCGCTTCAAGCAATTCGGCCACCAAACAAACAGCACGAGCAAAGCAAGACGCGCTCGATGGTTAGACGGGCAATATAAAAGGGTTTGTTTGAAGTGACTGAAGCGTGCGCGCTGGTAACGCCGGTGGTTGAACGCGGTAGTGGATGGCAGAGGTCGCAAACGGGTTTTGATACCTTACCCGTACCCGGCCGCACCAGGGTCGCAATCGGGTAACCGATTGCGACCTCTGGGATGAAGCCATGTTGCAGGCGCGGGTGGGTTGATTCTAGAAATGGTGAGAAGAGACAAGACGTTGGGAAATGAGTGGCAAACGGTGACTCACCAGTGACTCACGGCCTACCCGTACCCGGCCGCACCAGGGTAGCAAACCGGGTATCGGGTAGGGTACGGGTTTCTGGTACCCGGTTGCGACCTCTGGTGGATGGGAGACCGAGACGGGTGGTGAAACCCGGGTGACATCAATTCGACTTGCGATCACGGCCACCGTCAGTGGCCAGTGATATCTGAATCATAATCCCTGGGCCCTATTGCTCTCCTTCGCTCGAATCAACACTGGACCCAGCGTGGCGGATCGGAGTGGGATCCGTGACCATCACCGGCGCGGAGTCGAGAAGGCTTTCATCCAGCAGTGGATTTGGCAAAGGGGGCTGTCAATTGTTGGCAGTATAATTGTTTTAGCCGATCACCAACATCGCCCGATATCATCAGATCTCGGAAGCTAAGCTATGTGGGGGGGTTGAGCCTGGACAGTCCTTGGACGGGTGACCACCACGCACGTCTGGATATGGTGTAGGCTGCTGTAGAGCCACGTGGTGGTCAACAGTGTCGACACATCCATCGCTGTAGGTAGTGTACGGCCCATATTCCCACTCGCGCTGAGCAGCGTGGTGAAGTATGGTCAAATAACCATCATGTGGGGGGAGGCACCTCATCCAGCAGTGGATGAAGAAAATTACTTTAAAAATAGGGCTTGGCTAACTGTAATCCATATTACAGAACGAGCAAAGGTTACAGTTAGTGGTGGCGATGCTGCACGTGGCAGTAAGCCACTGGAGGCTGCGAGGGTTGGCGTATCACGGCACCAATGAGGCCGTCGCCAGGCAATGGCAGTACAGCAAGTTGATTCATTTTCCATCTGTTGCTATCTTTACGGAAGATTGAGTGTAACCACCCCCCCCCCACACCGGGAATCGTGGGTTTTCTTCCAGATTCTTCGGTTTCCTCTAATATGTATAAACCCTTGTGAATGGAGTTGGTCAAACATCCAGATATAGAGACGCAGAACTTGGGCAATTGTTGGCAGCGCCGGTTCAGGCTGCCTTCCCACTTGTCGAGGGATGAACTCACCGAACATTATAAACAGTAACAACCCAGCATGCATATAGCACGTCATATTTTGCAATGCTCTTTATTAATTGTTTTCACAAAGCAATTCGCATCACGTCATGAGGATCCATTCGGATCTCTCGCGGAGCAGTGCATCTCTTCGTGTTAGACAATGGCCAACGGAAGCGGATATCAGAGAGCTACTTCTGAGAAACCCTTCTGGCAAGTGACGTCTGGTCCACAGCAGGGACGTACGGGCAGGGGAGGCAGGGAGGCAGAGCCTCACCTGTCATACTCCAATGAAAATAGCTGTTACGAAAAGTAAAAAAAATCAAATGAAATAAATATGAAGATTTTCCACTGATCTGACTTATAAATGTCATTTCTGTACGATTCCAATAATTTTTATAGTCAAAATCGCCAAATTTGCGGAGCTCCTGCTGCAAATGCAGGAAGAGACGAGAGGTGAGGCAGCGACGAGCTCAGCCTCCCCTCTGATTGCACAACCCCTCAGTAACTGGATGGAGCGCGGGCAATAAGCGCGTGCCTGTTACTATCTCAGTATGTCACAAATGTAATGTTTGTAGACCCCTTCATTTCATGTCCTCGCCTTCCATACTCCAGGTAACTTATTTTACGTTTGTGTATAAAGATATTTAGGCTCGCTGGTCTCGTCATGAAACTGCAATGAAAAGGCACCAGGAGAGGCAGCTCTCACATCTGCCTCACTGAGGGGGACGTGTCTAACACGCCCCCCTCAGTGAGGACACGCCCCCCTCGGTGTGTGAATCTGGCTCTGACACAAGCCAGTGCCTCCCCAGCCATTGACCTCACCTCTCGCGATTTGCGCCACGCTGTAATATTTTCGCGGCAAGTGACCTCCGATTGGCATGGTTGGCTACGTACGGTGCGAAAGAAGTTCAACGTACATAATACGGTTGCGGTTCTTTGCAAAGCTCATGTTAACCTGAAGTTTGTCGGTATATTCTGACCACACCTTTCGTGCGAGGTCACAGTGAAATCGGCAGGAAGAGCAAGGACCCTGCGCTTGTGGCATCGGTTTGCCAGACGCTTGCCTTGCTGATGATGCCATAGTAAGTCAGAACCAGTAGTGTGAAGTTGCGCTGTTCAAACGAACGCTAGTGATGAACCCCCCACTGTGGAATGTGTGTGGATTAAATGCTCATCTGATTTAACTAAGTCTCGTAGATGCTTAGGCTTAATCTGCTGAAACGGCAAAAGCAATCTAACAACATAGCCATCTTAAGCTCCTGGCTTTGAGCGGCGGAGTTGGTGAGTGTTACCCCCATCGTGTTATTACGGTAAGTGTTAAACATCACGAATTCTCTAATTGTGCAGTGACACGTGGAAATGTCGCTTGTTTTGATGGAAAAAAACAGCACAATCCGAGTACAATTTGCGGAAAACAATTGGGGAGAAAACTGCCGAAATCAAACTGAGTTCATCCTGTGTCCTCAAAACTCGGGTCACGCTAATTGCTGTACCAACTTTGTCGCATGTGCCCACGTTATCGTATAACAGCGGTCCCTATAAATACAGCATGTTTCCACAGTCCTCAATGCACCCTTGCCGCAGGGGGAAACGAATCCTCGTCTAATTTTAGTTTCGAACATATGACGGCCTAATGCGCGCGTTCATTCCGATTGAATGACCTGATCATTGCCATTATCGGGATTGCTAGCTATCATCATCGGCAGCAGGGGTGACCATTCCACTGCTGGATGAAAGCTTCCCCTAATCATGGCCATATCTCGGGGTTTTGCGATTTTACACGCTGGCTATTACGTCAATGGACAAAGCTTGTTTCAATCCACTATTGGCTGGATGAGGGCTGCCACACAGAATCCGAATCATTGTTCTGGAGGAATCCAATTAACCGACAAGCTCGCTTTCACGCACCCGCCGTAGGAATCGTGGGGGATATGCGCTCACATTTCCGTAAGCTCAACATATGAGTCAAGAACACTGTGGCCTTTAGAGCAAAACATGTAGTCGGTGACGTGTCTCGCCCTTCTGCAGAGCACGTGCTACTAAAGTGCGGTCAGATGTTGGAGCGTAGCACAGTACAGCTGCTTTTGCAGCACTGCCCTCTGCTGCCCACCACCTGGCCTCGCAGCCTATACCACCTCAGTTATGAATAGCACCAGGGCCTCATCTACCAGATTTGACGCGGTCGTCTGGCTTGACCACCTGAATGTGAAATTGCAGTTGTTGCTCTGTACCTACATCAGTAGCCGTACTCAAGAAGAAGATAATGCACCACGTCTGTAATCAAGAAACTTGGCGGCAGGCTTGGTGGATCACAAAGAGATGGGGCTGAGATGTGTGTGTGTGATACCCAAATACAGGACCCTGGCGAAGTTGTGACTTGAAAATACAGTTTAGCAAGTAGATTCATGACTTGCTATATCAGTTGAGTTTTCTCTAGCCGGTTACCTAATATGGAAATATTTATATATATATTCCGAACAGTCGGTGAGAATCCCAAAGCAAACAACCCCATGAACAAAAAGACCCATTTACGAAGGTTCCACTAGTAGAGTGGGTTTGGTGAGAGTGGATTGATCCAGGCCTGCACGTTTTCTAATTGGATACTGTACTGTATCGGCACATAGACCAAATCACACCACAATTTTCCCGATCCCATCATATCTCGGTAGTTCAGCGTGACTGAGCCTGCAAAGTGAACGAAAGGTTCAGTAACACGCAGAAACTGATAAAAGGCTGTGGGCAGCAAAACATCCACTATTGTACCGTACTCTTTGTTTTTTTTGGTAAAGTCACGTATTTAGAATTTAAATAAAACAAACTCACGACGTTTCTATCGCAACACAAGCAATCATCATCAGGTGGGAAACCCACAGCAAGAAAAAATTGCTGAAGTGGGAGAGAGAGAGCTACGTGACATTACCGAAAGAACCAAAGAGTATGGATTCCTGCAGTCACGAAAGCTTCAAATCAACATTATTGTACCGTACTTATATGCTTCCTGCCTTTGGCAAACCGCACTGACCAGGGTGATCGAGTGCTGTCCCAGTAAACATGTCAAAGTCTCGAGGGGCC